CTTCGACAATACATTATATCATTCATGTCTTTGAAGTTTCATTGGCTTGCATTATGTATTTTGTACATTTTTCTTTGTCCCATCAAAGTCTCGCTGTTTTATTGTCTTTTGCTGCATGGCCAAACCGTGAATATGTTTACATCCTGAGGTGGAGCACAAGCAAATGGCAAAACAATTGCTGAGAGCTCGGTTTCTTTTCTATAGATCTTAACAGTGAAAGTTGAAGGCTTCCCTAAGTATCCAAAAGGAATCATAAAGCGTTCTGATGTAGAAAAATTCCTGCTAAAGAAAAGCAAATTTCCTAAGGTTTATATGTCGCAGTACTTCAAGCTCCTGGAGAAGTTCCAGATAGCGCTACCATTAGGAGAAGATCAGCTCCTTGTTCCGAGCAGGTAAAACGAGACCTGAAAGCTTAACATCAAGGCAGTGCAGTAGAGTCATGAATTGTTTTCCTTCTCAATTTTTGACAATTGTCCTCTCGTCTATCAAAGCAGAGAAGATTGGAGGAAGATGTTGTTTATACATTGTGGCTTCTGCTGATTCCTTCTCTCAGCTTTGGGGGTGGGTGGGGGGAGGGGGAACACATGTAGAAAAATTAAAAATAATTGGTTTCCCCCCCTTAACAGCTTGTCAGATCACCGTCCTGTAATAGAATTGCCCCACTGTGAAAACTCAGAAATTATCATAAGGCTGTATGAGATGCCCTATTTTCCTATGGGATTCTGGTCCAGGCTGATCAACAGATTGCTTGAAGTGTCTTCTTATATGCTTTCTGGAAGAGGTACATTCATTTCTACTTAACTCTGAAGTTGGGCTTATTCAAAAACTGGGGAAGTCTCTGGAAGTATTTTCAGTATTTATTTTGATTTTACCTGCATTTTCATGGTTTTTCATCTGAATTCTTTCTTGAAATATCCCAGGTTTCCATCACTTTCCCCTGCCTTTTGGACATAGAGTTATACTGGTGGACATAGAGATTCCTAGAGAATCTCTCAGGTTAAAAAAAATAATGTTTTCCCTTTACTTTTTCACATTTGCAGGGATCCTGCACCCTTAACTCCCTTGAAAGGGGAGGGCCTGCTGGGCCCCAAACACCTTAAATTTAAAATTAAAAAGCATAAAAATTATGGCTAGATTATTCTCGGATCATTGCGCACTTGAACTAATCATAAAGGAAAAAGAACCCTCCTTCAGATGGAGGCTAAAAGAACATCTCCTAAGAAAGGAAAAAGATATTGAGAGAAACAGGAAACTGTTACAAGAATATTTGC